TCCAGAACAGGTGCGAAACTTCCCGCTTGTCAGTGTCATATTTGACAGTAAATGGGGCCCAAATGGGGCTCCCATTTACTGAAATACCATGAATTTGGATCCCCCATTCCAAACGTGAGTACCCCAGGCCATTTCCGTTACAATATGTAGCCCAACTTCCTAAAAGTATTTACTGACCGAGTTTTCGCTAAAAGACACTGAATTGAGCATACGTAAGATGGGCGAACGAACGATTATGATGATATTTTTATCTCGCCCAACGGACATTTTTCTGCCAGTGCTGCCAAGTTGAGTAACAAATCGCATAATAGGCGATTAAATTTGTTAAAATCCGGCTCAAATGTTGAATTTGCGCCAAAATGGGCGCTAAAAGCTAGCAACTCTTCGTCAACGTTGGCCGACTTTTTGTTTGCGACTATGCGACAGCTTTAACTAAACCTTGGCAACAATGCATCCGTGTTTTTCTATGTCGGAGACATCACGGCGAATCGATGCTGCTTAACTATGCATACCGGCGATAGTGTTTCATCAAGCAGTGTCAGCGATTTCTTAGAACGTAGAAGATTCATGCGATTAAAACACCCGGCGATTGCTACAAATCCTCATCGGGTTGTTTCTTTATTCGTTATTTAAGTGGCAGTAAGTTTAAATTTTGTCGAAACGAAAATAGGGATGACCAGACACAAAACAAACATTTATTTTGCATTGGACGAATTGAAAGGGGGCGAATATGTATATAAATTTAATAAACAATCGATACATCAGCTTTATTCTACTCGTCGAAATGAAATGCACCAATTTCCTTGATCATAGTAACTTCGAATAATTTCTATATTATTTATTTGTTGGCACATCTTTTCCAACTCATGTTCCCCAAAAACATGGTAAAACCTAAGAAAGGTCTTATTATCGTCTTTAAGTTTCCATGGAACTAATACGTCACTAGCCTTAAAGTTGCTTCTGTTAGCATGAACGGGTAACTCAATGCCTCCTGGCAATGGCACTTCTTGTCTACCTATGTACCAAAAAAATATAATATTAGAACAAAAAACTAATTTCAGCAGGATCATTTCGTGTACTGACCTTCAGACGAATCAAGATGTTTCAGAGTTGTTTCTTTTCTGTTTTTCCTGCATTGCATAATATAACTGGACTTTTTTTGGTTTTTGATTTGCTCGTGAGCCCAGACATAAATTAAACCCTTTCCACCAATTCTCAATATCCTGACCATTTCCTTAATTGCTTTCAATCTTCTTTCCTCAGTTGCCAAGTGGTGTATAACAGCAATGCTGATAACACCATCAACATATTGATCGTTTATTGGTATTGATAAGCAATCGGTAATGAAAGTCTCAACTTTTTTCCCGCGACAGATATCAACTAAGCCGGTACTGCGGTCACAACCTTAATAAACATTTTAAATTTTAATAGTAGGGGAGAGTGTTGTACCTTGGGACGCATGTCCCTTGGGACAAAGGTGGTACGTGCGCCATCTTTTTCATATCAATATTTAAAGAAGCAGGCCAAAAAAAAAACAAAATTAAAAGTTACAAAAAAGGTATTTGAAGATAGTTCCGACGATGAAAATACCGAAATACCTATCCAAGATTTTAGTGATGAAGACGATTATTTGGAAAAATTGGTTGAGCAAGAAAGTTTGGAGATGGAACAGGATAGATATATAGAAAATTCCACTTTAGTAGAAGGAGATATTGTATTAACCGAACTGAAGGGGAAAAAATCTGTACGTCATCATAGCAGAAATGCAAAAGATTTTGGAAGAAAGATGTTTTGACGTGCTCTATCTAAAAAAAATAATGCATAGTAACAAATTTGTGAAAATTATATGAAATCAGTGAATCAGACATTTTGACAAAAGTACCGAAACCAACAGTAGTTGGTGGATCGGATCGTCGAATGGAACAATTCTCGTTTTCTGTAGACTTTATTTCTTTTAATATTTAATTCTTTAATATGAATTATATAAAAATGTTTGGCATATTTTATATATCTTCTTATTTGTTTATGTCTCATCTTTAAGCATAATTAACGTTGTCCCAAGGTACAATTATACCTGTCCCAAGGTACAAGGCATAGTTAATACATAATATTACCTTTTTGCCAATTTTACTCTAAATGGCTGAAATAGCACTAGATGTGCTCGTTCGGATTAGATGACGGTATTAAAAATAAAATTGACAATAAAAAATAAAAACAGAGAAATGTTACAAGGTACAACACTCTCCCCTAGTATTCTTTTGGTTGAATAAACGTTACTGTAAGGCCGGTTCGTTTAGTCGATCTCTTACGATGCGCCGATCTCTCGACGTTCGCTGGAGGCAATTTTGGTGCATAGCCGAACGGTTGAGCATCTGACGCACCCGGATTTTAGTGTTTTTGGGCGATACGATGCGAATTAGTCGGAAATGGGCTTATCCGAACGGCCGCCAAAGGTATTTTGTGAGCGAAAGTTCTCAACTTCTCGTGTATTTTACACTATTTTTGTTTTAAATATATAGATAACGATCTCGATGTATTGTACAGTGTTAATCAGGATAATTAACATGGAATTAGATTTGAACAAACCACAAAGGTACGTAACGAAAACATCAAGAAGCGTGATATGCAATTCAAATAATTGGATTATTTTCAGGTATATTCGAGATATGGAAAATACCTTAGAGAAATTTACTGACGCCAATTTCAGAAAACGCTTTCGTTTCTCAAAGGAAATGGTGCAAAATGTTTTGTTGCCATTAATCAATCACTAGGAACAAATCACGAACCGAGGCCCTGTTCCTTTGATAATATATATTCTTAAATACTTTTATTGTCAGTCCCTACATAGTGAAAAAACACAACTTGAAGAAATGGTGTGTTGTTGAAATAATAATAATAAACAAATTTATTACTGCATTACATTTTTTAACGTTCAGAAAAAAGGTTTCGGAATGAATTGGTTGATTTTCTCAACGTTTATAACGGCTTTCACCGTTAGCATATTTTGCGATTTATTTATACACAATCTTATACTACGAGGCAACTAGTCGCAGTGGAAAGCGCTTATCTTTTCTGCCTTTGACGGCCTTCCAACGCGGATATTTAAAACGACTTCACGAGCTAACTAAACAGCAATCAGTGCCGAACTTTTATCGGTAAATTAATAATATCACCGCAAAAGCCACCAGAATAGCGATATTGCGTATGCTCATTTTATGGGAGAATCGTCGGCGATTCCATCTAACGAAGAACAGCTTTGCATCAGAAGCCCGTCGCTTTCGCGTCGACGACGGCACGCTCGGCGATACGCCAAAACAATCGCCGGAAAAGTGCCGAAGATCGACTAAACATACCGGTCTAAGTATTGTAATTGAATAGTCAATTGCAATAAAAATAGTCATAGGTGATTTCAGTAAAAAAACCAAAAAGTTTATTTAAACTATGCTTTTAATCGTGACTTAAATCACTTATATATAAATAACTCTACTCTGCAATGTACTTACCAATATCAAAAATGTATTTATTGTGGCCCAAATATTTGCCATTTCCACAGCCCACATCCACAAGAATGTCCCCATACGTGAACGATTGTACAAATTCAAGTACATTGGGCCATGGTTTGTGCCTGGTGTCACTAAAATGATCAGCTATGTTCTCGTACACCTCATGCACATGTAGTGCTTCGAGCTGTGCGGCTACATTTCCATTAATATTATTTTGTTTCATTTGATCACATTTCGCTTTAAAGGAGCATTTACAATCACCATGAAGCACTTTACGAAAAGTGAATGAAATCCTAGTTTCCCTTTTTAAGCAGGTAAATCCTACAGCAGATTTGTTCCTTATAACATCAAACTTTCTTGGAACAATACCATGAGTCCAATTATATCTGCTTTCGCCAGACATTATTAGCAGAGATCTCCTTGGCAGTAACGAACAAATATGCAGGCCTTCGTTTTTAAATTCCATAACAATTGTTGATGCCAGAGATAGGCACATAATAGGACTTTCAAAGGCACTGTGCGTGTCAACATGATGAGGAATTCCTTGACCGGGAGAATAGCAATTTACTGTCAATTGATCCGGTTGAAATTGTCCAAACTCAGGGTGTGTTTGCTGCAATCTTGCCCATAAAAAATTTGTTTCACACGGCACATTGCAGCTTAAGGGTTTGTCTTTGTCCACATTGTTAATATCGTATCGAAATTCAAAACCGAAATGTTCCACGAGTCTGTTTTTCATTATGCCACAGGGCTGATCTCGAAAGCTACACAATTTTAACAAAGATTCTTCTTCAGCGGTGCTGATAAAGTCATTAATAATTATCAGACCTGGTGGTAATTTATCCCAAATGGTTGTCTCAGATAAACGGGGTAATTGATCCACATAAAGTAAATAAATTGGCCTATTATACTGAGCAATATCTAGCTTACCATTCAATGCGTTATAGGCAGCAACTGCACACATTACATCCTCATATGCGAGAAAGCTGCACGATTTTCCGGGTAACAATAGAATATCTGATAAAGGCCCAAATTCACTAAAGTATTCAAAAATTGATTCTTCCGTAAGGCCATTAACAAGGCCCGCGTTGCAAATTGCCAGATTATTTGTAGGAATAGGGGAACTGTTGACACCAGCTTCTTTTTTAATTACATGCTGAAATTTTGCCAGCTTTCGATTCACCTTCTTTTGCTGACCACGCGAACATCCTACGTTCTGCACAGACATCGTGCACACTGAAAATAAACTAAAAGATTAATGTTTGGAAAAATACATGTTTAAACAAAATATGTAGGGTTAATGCGTCTTCTTCTTGCAATTTAAAAAAACGAGACTTCAAATCGCACTAACATCCAGTGTTGTCGCTTACGCTTTGCCCCACACTACGCGAGAGAAGTACTTGAACATCCAGAGAGAGAGAGAGCGAGAGAATCAGCAATATAAAATTAGGAGAGAATATAATAAAATCTGCATTTATTGCCTTCACTCTAATATCTTCATGTCAAAATACTTACGTCAATGTATTGTATATGTCGTGTAAATATGTAATGAAGTGTTGTACGTTTTATATGAAAAAGAAAAAAATGCAGATTTTAATATATTCTTTCCCGATTTTTTATTGGTCTCTTGATTTTCAATCAACGAACTGTATACAAGTACCTTAGTATAGAGTTCATTGTTTTAAATTACTCTCTCCCGGAATATGGTTCAAAACATAAACGGCAACATTGGATTGTCTTGATTGCCTCTGTCATCATCAGTCATATTCAGGTACTGCGCGTTGGTTTTACAGCAAAATTTTATTCATACTCTCTCAGAAAATGTGATAATTGAAATGTTTATACCAGTTTTGCAGTAATGTCAGAAAAAGTCGTCATTTACCTGAAAGTGTCCACAGAAACAGGGTAGAAGATCTGGGGTGTTCGGTGTGTGAGAAACCAAAGGTAAGCGGTATCCATTGTGATTGTCATTCAGTCAGATTAAAAATGAATCATTTTTATATCTTTCAACTTTTATGTTACACATGTTTAATGGTGAAATGTTGGAACTGGTATGTACGTTTTTGCTTTTTTTGCGGACACAACGATCTACTTAATACAGCATGGGCGGATTAACAAAAGGCTTAGCAGAGGCTGTAGCCGCGCGCCCTAACGTTGAGAGGGCCCCACGCATTCCGCATCCTAAAATATTCACTTTTTATGCTAAGCTTTTTACTATCCTAATGGTCGTTTACATTTTACACCGTATGTATAATACCTATTTATGGACGTCTTATCTATACGGTCACCTAGTGAAATAAGCAGATTTCTTTTGCATTTCTAGGTAGTTTACACTTTTTTTTATGATAAGTTAAGCGGTGATCGTGACGTCGGAGTCCATCCGAATTTTTAGTTTTTTCTGGTTTTCTCTTAAAGAACACTAATTTAAGCAGTTTAAGCGAAAAAAATTGCTGGATGGGCCATAAATTATGCCAAAAAGCCCTCACAAACAGTGTTGCCAGACCAAGAACTTCGAAAGCGGTAGAATGGATAGAGAAAAAACCGTAGATTTAAATATAAAACGGTAGATAATTTAATGTCCCTAAATTTCCGTTTTTCGCATTTTTAAGTGGTTTTCAAAAGTACTTTTGAACAAAGAACAAACAAGATATTTCATTTGAACAAAATATTTAAATAGTTAAATAGTTAAATAACTTATTTTGGATAAAATAAAAATACAATAACCGAGTTTTACTACTTTGTCGAAACACTGTCAAATGAGAAGATATATGGCCCCCAAAATGGCCTTCAGGTGAAAAAATATTTTTGAAAAGTTTCTACAAAGTAGTAAAATTGGATCTGGTCTGGATTGGAATGGTCTTGGATTCCAACCTTAAAGAATAGTGATCAAATGAAATGAAAAATAATAATTCCTTTGTACATAAGTGTTACATTTCAAAAAAATAATTTATGGCAATAACTTTTAAAAAAGTATATCATAATTTGATAAAAAGACATGTTTTACTTTTTCAATTTATTCGCCAATAATAACCACCTCGATTGGTTTACCCTTATTTATTCAAATAATCCCACTCAGATTTTAGCATTGGGAGAAGTTTGAGTCGGGAAGAGTTGAGAGCCTCACAATGAATTCCATTATTTCGGAGTGTGTAACACATGTTACTAGAGAATAGACCGAAATTGTCGAAATGTGACTTTGCCTGTTGGGTGGTCTTTTCGAATTTATTGGAGTCACTATTTACTTGCGTCTTATGCCCGGTTTCTGGTAGATTTCTTTATTGGTTCCATAACTGTCGGTCCGCCAAAGTTGTAGGCTCTATAAGTGTTGGTGGGTTTCTCAACGTGTCCCAACGTCAAAGCTATTGATCCATAACTATCGAGTCTATAAAGTAGGCAAAACTTGGTAATCTGTGGCCAAAGTCATATAACGAAGAAGAAGAATCTGTAAGAACGTAGAGTGACTTGTGTTACCTCGTGTTATCAAAAAAAATTGCACGATTTATTTTACCTCAGAGATCTGATGGTTATTTAAGCAGAAGCTATAAGTGTTGGCTCGGAAGAAAAAAATCAAATAAATACAAACTATGCAAATATATTTTATCATTCAAATGCTCATTTCGAGCTCAAAAATGGCAATGATTTCACTCTATTTCACTATTAAGAACATTGAAAAGTTGCTCGTCAGATGAGACCGACGAGGAATCTTTGCTTCCCTTTCACACACAAATTTTGCTCTCAAAGATATTATTTTTTAATGGCTACCAAAAGATATTATTGTTTTCGCAAAACGTGTTTGCTGCTGATTTTGTATGATTTTTGGCACTAATTGCAAGCAAATACTTTTGCGTGCGCTGCTCCTACAACTTGTAGAATCGATAAAGGTCCGAGAGCGCTCGTTTATCGGTTCTTCAATGTAACGAACCGCTATGGCTTACCGAACGTGTTAGAAACCCATTGTTTCGACTTATAGAATCGTTTAGGCTATTGGATCTATAAAGATCGTTTCAGAAACCGGGCATTAGAGAAATTCCCAAAAAGACTCACAAATTATATTGAAAGTATTTAACGTAACAATTTAACGGTAGATTCTTATAGCCCATTTTCAGGCTAAATTTCGACCAGCATTGCTAAACTGCGCAAAACGTTTTAACTGAAAATTGTTTTCTTTGTAAACTAAGACGGAGTGTAATGTTTTCTTGTTGAAAAATTACAAAACTGCAGCGAGCAAAAGTGGTCGAAAACAGGATTTTTCAACGAAGCACCACACAAAAAACTTAACATTATCACATTAACACACTTACGAAAAAACTTGGTAATAAAATTATTATCTGCAAGTTAAGCATATTTTTAACTTCAAACTCAAGGGGAAATAAAATTGAAATTACCTTATTTTATACATCTTTGTGATATTTGAAATAAAATGCTATAGTTTATGGAAAAAATGACTTGCTAACCATAATAACCCAAAATTAACCCAAAAAGCTTTTAGACAAACGGTTTTTATTCGATTGGCATATCTACGCATTTTAGAACTTCAGTTCAGGAAAACACCAACATTTTTCTTGAACCAACGTTTCGGCTATATCAATGCCATCCTCAGGGTTCTGAAAGAGGACCGATTGGTTTCAGTTTTGGATACATATATGTTTTTTGTTAAATTCCTCAAAAATATTAGTAACTAATAGCAATTTTATTTTTGTTTGAGGGGTTTTTACACAGCCTATTTATTTTTCAATCAGTCCCTGTTTTTTAAAAAAAATTAGTGCTTAACAAAGTCTTCACAGAGTAAAAATTGAAACAATGCTGAAAAAATGTGTGAAATTTTTCCTTGCTTCCAATTTTCAATGTATTTCAATTTCAATTTATTTATTTATTTTCGTATTGAGCACAAAAATGTACGTAAACTCATTACCAAAATTCAATGCACAGGGTTGCATTAAAATTGACCCCAAAGTGGAAATTTGACATGGCAGAATTTATCTAGTTGTATAGTTAGGGCAAATTTGGCCCCCACTGGTGTGTTGTATCACTAGAACCTTTCTATTTTAACAGGCGCACACTATCGACGAACGTTATATGAAGAAATAGCGCTTCAGAATAACAGCATCAAATCACATGCCGCTATCGAACTTAACGTGCGTCCTTCGAAGTTAACTTCGGGGAATAAATAAAACAATTGTGTTTAATCAGAGCGTAATTTTGTGTTTTAGCTATAATTTGTTTTTAATTTAAAACAAAAATGTCTTTGTGGTCTTATAAGATTAGCTTTATTAGAACAATTAGTAAATGGTTAATAAGCTTTATTTTCCTCCACTAACTACTAAATTTTCAAATTGTTTGCGGGTTGTTTTTTTGATTCTTCTGTGCATGCTCCATTGAAAGCGTTTGAGAAGATAGGTCAAGAACAGTAACGAACGAAATTGAAAGTTCTCTCTCTAACTAATAGACCATTCGTATAAGGGCATCTCACTTTATGCATTCAATATTTTTTTCCTTTTTAACGTTTGATTGATAACTGGGTCGGAAACGCATACGTTAACTGGGAGATAGAGCACACCTCGGTTGTGTTGCTGCGTTATCGAAAATGTTATCCTGAACTGTTAAGTTGCCGTAACGTGTGGCCGTTAAAAATAGCATTTATGATACAGCACAGGGCTGATTATTTACTAGTGTATTAGTTAATGTTGCGCAAATCATATAATTTTTGTGTGTTTTTAATATTTACTCTAAGGGCATGATTTTTTGCAGGATTGAGGAGATATACCAGCCCTAGTAAACGACGACTCTGGGGCTACTAAAGAAAAAACATCATCTGTAAATGCTTATTTCTGTAATTATGAAATAAATACAGTGTATTTTATTTGGTTCTAGATAAACCAAATAAACTTGCCACCTAGTTTATAGCCAGCAGCAGATAGATCATTGGCTGAAAAGTGTTTTATTTATTATATCCTCCTGATTTGTGTGTGCAATGTGCGATTTCTGTATCGCCGTAGCTATTGGTGAATCAGCTGAGCTGTGATTTCGCGAAATGCATTATTTTTGGTTATGACATTTTACGTATTGCGTAAGACCGGTCGGGCAAATCTACTCTTCGTTTATTTTCACCAAAAAGAATGATATTTTGACATGGTTATTTCTTAGTTTGTGGTTACCAGCAGAATCAACTAGACTTATAACTACTCGGCATCAGACTATATTTGACAATAAATTGAAGAACAATTCAACCAGGTTCCACAGTATTAAAATTTCACTGAAGTCAAACCAGATGCAAGCTTATTAAGATATGAACAAGTCAGTATCAAGCATGTGAGATATCAAGAAGAATCGTTATTGAAGAAGAATTTTAATTGATTTGAAACTAACCCAGAGGGGCGAACCTGGATTAAATGTAGGAAGCTTTTTCATCAGACAATTACCAACAACTCAAGCTACATAGAACCCGCTGGGAGGTGAATTGAGTAGCTTTCCATTGGGTTCATATTGATACAGGTGAACTAAGTAGCTGCCCTTTTCAATTGATTCTTGAATCGTACTAATTATTGAACTCAGCAGCAAAAGCTTGGAGTCCCAGCGATTATTTTGCTAAGTAAAAGCTAGAATTTTTTAGTGGAGTAAGACCACTAAAAAATATGCATTGTTGAAAGTGAAGAGAAATGACAAACCAGTATGTTCATTCATAGCTATGGAAAATCAACCAACCAATTAGGAGATGCGATCGAGGATGCGATGCTCCTCGCTTAGGTAGTTGTAAGAGAGAAAGAAATTATTCCCTTTCTCTTCTTTCTTCTGCTGTTTTGATGGTCATTATCTCGTCCAGCATTTCTGTTACTGCTTTCCAGCATGCTTGGGTTTTGGTTAGAATTTCGCTGATGTTTTGCCTGTTTATTCTGGTGTTGCATTTTTCTTCTGCTTCCGTTTTTATTTCGGTGAATTTCTGGCAATCAAAAATTGCATGCTCTGGGGTGTCCACTGCTTTGCAGAACTAGCAGTCACCGTTGTTTTGTTTTTTTTTTATCTTTTTTAGATAAGATCCAAAAACTCCGTGTCCTGTGATTGACTGCGTGGAGTGGTAGTTGGTTTCCCAGGAGTTTACTTTCCTTCTACTTGGTGACATTCTGGATGAATATTGTGAATGTCTTGCCATAGAGTCATTGTCTCGATTCTGGCCTCTTTCTTGTGCTCCTTTCCTAGGCTGATTATCTCAATCTTTTCCTTTACTAGCAGGTCTATAGGGATCATGCCTGAAATAGCCTCTATAGCAACCGTTGGTGCGGTTCTATATGCAGAGATTATTAGGATCGCCAGCTTTATGGTTTAGATTTATGCTCGTTAGCAAGTTCCTGTAGTGCTGGTACTTCAGTGTCTTGTGCTATATTTGGGCTCCGTAAATAGTTGCAGATATTCCCGAGGATGATAGAGCTTCAGATCGCTCCTTCTGTTCTCTGCGTTTGGGCCGCCTATTCTTGGCATCCTATATAGTAGGGATGTCATTTTTTTGGCTTTATCCACTGTTGGTTTTACGTGAGTGGTCATCCTAAGGTTCCTATCCGATTAGATCCCTAGGTACTTTGCGTATTCAGAGGTTGTTATGCTGTGTTTGTTATTTCGAATATGACGTCCTTTACCTTCCTGGGGCACGCCAACAGAATTGCCTCTGTTTTGTGGGTTGCCAATTCGATACCCATGCTTTTTAATTTATCCACTGCCCTTTGCCCGATTGGATTTTGCAATTATGCTCTCTTTGGTTTTTGCGGCGACAATAACTGCTAGGTCGTCGGCATATGCCACAAGATGTACTCCCTCGCCGAGTTCTGTGCTTAAAATTTTGTTATAAAAGATTTTTTTTTGTTTGCCCGGCGGCGGCTGGAGGATAAAAATCTTCTCGAAGACACCCAGTGTCCCGTGCCACTGGGTAGTGTTGGATTTCTACCAACTAAAAACCCCCGTTTTTGACTTCAAGTTTTCGCGAGTTGCCCTTTGAAACTTGCGGTCTTCTGTAAGAATGGTTCAGCTCTGGCATCCGTATGCCTTTACATCACATTTTCTCCATACTGGCTATCTGCTAGTATGGGCAGCTTACTAATTTAACACAAGCACTACACAACACTACTTCTATCACACTATTGTAACTATATTTCACACTTACAACGACTGCAGTGAACTGCTTTACCTATTGCCTTGTTGGGCCAACTGGTGCCTGGGCCTCTTTTTCCTGGGCCCAGCATCCTCTGGTGAGTAATCTACTGCATTCCGTAGCTCAACAAAGGGGTAGTTTTCGGCCTTTTCAAAGGTCGAGGCAGCTTTCCGTTGCAGGAAGTCTCAGTGGCTCCCACTCCAAGTCCCTATAAATTTGACTATTACGTACAAACTAGGGAGCATCTATGGCCATCCGCAGAATTTTATTTTCTGTGGCCTGAAGCTGTCTCAGGTAGGTTTCTGCTGCATACCCCCACACTGTGGAGGCATACGTCATTGCCGGCCTGATGACACTCTTGATGAGCAGGAGTTTGTTCCTCACACTCATTTCGCTTCTTCTGTTCAGTTGTGGGTACAACATTGCTGTTGTAGCCTTTGCCTTGTTGATTGCTGTGTTGCCATGTTGCCTCCAGGTCAGCCTCGTATCTAAAACAACACCTAAATACCTGACATTATTTGCCCATTGTACCTCTTCTCCGTCAAGATTGATGTTTCCAACAATCCTGTCACGTTTTCT